TTTCTGTCACTTTTCTCGTAGCTATATTTTTGTTTCTTATTCTTTTTTGTTTTTTTTTTTTTTATTTTTCTTTCACTTTCGTTACATTTCCCGTAGCTGGAAGTCGTCAAAATTGTCTTTGTACAACAGCGCCTTCGCTTCCTCGCATTCTCGCGTTCTCTTCGAAATTCAACGACGGTAAACCAATGAACAGAGAAACGTTCGAGAGAAAGCGAAACACGCGGGAGACGAGAAGATTTCTGTTGGATTTTGCTTGTTTGTGGCACATATTTTCGACGAATCTTGTAATACGACAAGTTGATCTCGTTAATCTGAACGTCCGTATCGCGACACGATGATAATAACAATAACGAGCGGCTTTTCGCACATAATTCTGCTCTCATTGTCAGTTTGAAAAAATTTCCCTTTGGAACGTGCAAAAAAGATCTGCCATCATCGTCATCATCCTGCCTTCCGTTTCTGTTTCCGCGATTATTTGCTGGGAGGAAAAATTAATTTATGGACGAAAGTCTCCGGCGCGGTTGTTCTCGCGGGATAATTTTTTCGTTCGCGTTTTCAAGAGAACGGCGAAAAGTGCGCATCTCGTACTGCGGTGGCTTTTCAGAGAGCTTTTATCGCTTTAGCGCTTATCGTTTCTGTAATCCTGGAGCCTTTAAACCCTCGTCCCCTTACCTCCACTTATTTCCACCGCGAAATACAAGAAGAGAAAAAAAAAAAAAAAAAAAAGGCGAACAAAGGCGAGATCAAACGATACTCGAGAGTCGGACGTCTCGGTTCCACTCTATCGTTGGACAATCGTTAATGAGAAGAATACGAGCAAGGCGTCTCCGCGATGAGTCGTCTCGCCGAGCAACAAACACCGTGAAAAAAAAAACTGTCGAAACTTTTCTGTCGATCGAAAAAAGGAAATACGTCGTAGACAAAAGAAAGGCATTTGATCTGTCGCGTTGATTTATACAGACGAATCGATTATCATTAATCTCGCCATTTCGTCATTAGAACGTCTATGAGAACGAAACAGAACGAATCTTTGCCTCGCCTTGACTTTGGACCCACCGACCGTCGAGATCCTATTCTGTTCTTTTTTTAGTTAGAATGTCTTAAGCCGATCTGAACTATTCTTTTCTTTTTTTTTTTTCATTCAATTTGAAATGAATTGCACACCATTTGGAGATTCCATTGGGGAACTTAGAAATGTGTTAAATTACCAGATTATTTAATTTCATTTTGCGTTGACACGCCGAAAATTCGAAATTCAGATTGAACATTTCAAAAATCAAGTAAGCAACTTGGCTCTCAAATGTTTATAGCGATTAATCCAGCGATCTAGTTGCGAACAGTACTAGCTAGAGAATTAAAGAGCATTGAACGGGGGCATTTTCCGACTACAGAAAGACATAAGAAATTCATCTCGACGTCGATCTTTACTCCTCCTCTTCCTCGACCCGAGGAAATTTCAGTTTCACTTTTGCTGACGACATCCCTTTTTTTCTGGGCTAATTCTTTGTGGTTTTGGTTTTGTGGTGTCTTTGGTACCCGACTACGAACTGCCACCCAACGCAACTGCGACAACTACCATCTACCACCAACTACAACTCAACAACTACAACAACAGCGTGAGGCCACCTGCACACAATCCGTACTATGTCACAAGCCACGCGGCTGCCGCACAGGCCGCGGCAGCGGCCGCTGCAATTCCAGCCGCGACAACGGGTCCGTTCGTAGACGTAGTCGGCCATCAGGCCCATCAAGCCCAGTCGACGATTGCCGTTCCAGTAATGCCACCAGGAGCCGGCCGTAGCTTACACTACCACACACACGCAGCGACACACGCATTGCCACAACAGCCACCGCTTACCTATCCCAACTGGGTCCCATTCACACACTTCGGTTAATAATTATTCGACTCACACAGTCAGTTCACGACTCACGATCGTTTCTTTTTTTTTTCTCTCTCTTTTTTTTTTTTTTTTTTTTTTTTT